GACGAGGAGGAGAGCTCGTCGGATACGACAACAAGCCCATCGGCAGCGGCGATGACAGTCACAGCAGCTTCAGCAGCTTCGAGTGGCCGTGCTGTCAGGGAAACCGCAAGGGAAACATTGCAGCTTCCGCTGTCGCGTTCAATGACGAGCTATCAACTCTCGCCGTCGCCGTCAGTGGGTCGTTCCCCTTCTCCTTCTCCTCCTCCTTCCCCTTCTTCTTCTTCTTCTTCCTCTTCTTCCCCATCGTCCTCTTCATCGCCTTTCCCATCATCTTTCCACGCGCACCACCACCATCATCACCACCGCCACAGAGAGACGATGCCGCCGCGACGTGCCCGTTCTGCCCAAGGGCACGTCATTACGCCCAAGCAATCGTCTTCATCGATTGCTTCTGCCGACATGGCAGAAAAACGCTCGGCCCGACAGCTGCAGAGGGCAGCTAAGAAGGCCAAGACGACGACGACGACGACGACCGAGGAGACGACGGAGCCGGGGGTGCAGGGTGCTCCGAGGAGAAGCAGCAGGCGGACGAAAGCGCCCCTGCGTGCTGAGGGGGAGGGGGAGCGGGAGTCCGCTGAGGGTGGGCGTCGCGGCCAGAAGCGCAAGGCTTCAGAGATGGCGGTCGCTCACGCCTCGAGCGTGAACCCTCAGGTTGGGGCTGAGGCCCTACCTGCAAAAAGGGTCACGCGAGCGGAGGCGAAGAAGCAGGAGGAGGAGGGCCGGATGGTGACGAGATCCGGGAAGAGACGGCTTGGAGGTGCAGAAGGTGAGCATCGCGATAACAGTAGCGGATTGAATTTGACCCATCGGACCGGTTCGTCGTCGAGCAAGCGCAAGAGCCCCTTCCTGGATGTCCCTGAGCATGTACTGAAGAGACCAGCGTCTCGACGGAGCGTTCGTTCGAGCTACGATTATGATGATTTTGATGGAGACGATGTCTCCGACGCTGGCGGGAACGAGGAAGATCGAGAAGAAGAAGTAGAAGAAGAAGAAGAAGAAGCTGACGATGTGATGCCCGATGAAGCCGAAGAAGAGGAGGGTCGGGGCCTGGCTGCGGCCGCCCGACGGAAGAAGTCCTCGACGTCGAGGAAGGTGGGCGGTGAAGCCCATCACCCCTCTCATGATGAGGGGAAGAAGCAGAAGCTTCACCCGCTGTTGCGCGAGGGGCCCGATAATCCCGGCTTCCCTTGGTGGCATACAGACGAGTGGATCGCGGCAGAGGCCAAGGGGGCCGGCAAACGTAAGTCTTCCCCATTGCTCCTTGAATTGCACGCATACATTCCATTATTCCCTCCATCATTTGTCTACCTCCCATTCATCTCCACCTCCCGTCTACATCACTCCTCTTTCCATCTCTTGCACAAGCAATCTACACACTACTCTCCTCCTCAATCATGTCTGAGAAATCACGAGAACCCAAGCTGACCCTCTTCAAAGGTCCCCTTGGGCCGAGCACCCCGCTCGCAATCGTCGATGACGACGACGATGACGAGATGGACACGGGCAGCGAGGACGAGGATGGCGAGGCTCCTGCCCCACCCGTCCCCCAGCCAGCCCCGCAAGACCCGCCGCGCAGGTTGAGGTCGGCTGCCCGCAGCAGCCAGGCCGCCGAGCAGTCCCAAGCTCCGGCCGCGAAAGTCGAGGAGCGCCAGCAGCCTCCTCGCAAAAAGTTCAAGATGGAGAGGTACGAGCACCCTGCGGAGTTCAGGCGGGTGCTCGACAAGGGGGTGGACAAGGACCCTTGGACCGACGAGCGGTTCGAGGAGTTCCACCGCCCCAAGAGGGCTCAGGAGAAGGGGGAGCACCTCAAGGAGCTGGTGAAGGAGGGGAAGAACTTCACCCGCTACATGGCCCTGCTCTCCGAGCTTGAGAGCGCGAAGGGCGACGAGTGGAAGCAGATCCTGGGGACCGAGGGGACGCAGCGGGAGGATGTGCTGGTCCGGAAGAAGGACCGATTGGTCGAGGAGCTGCGGGCCGCCAAACGGCGGTACCCAGCTTACAAGGCGGAGCGCGAGAAGGTGGAGCGGGGCGACGACTCCTGGTCGTACGCCGCCTGGCTCAAGAAGAACGACAAGAAGCCGCTGGACGTCAAGGGCCTCTTGATCGAGAGAGAGGACTGGGAGGAGCAGATGGGGGGGAAGACAGACTAACAACAGCAGCCCCTTTGCATGGGCTTGCTTTGTCTGGTCTTCGCGTGGTCCGGCTTTCGTCTTGTTGTCGTCGCAGTAGCCCCTCGCATGGGCACTGCTTGGTCTCGCCTGTCCGCCGTCAGAGAGCCCCTTGCATGGGCTTCTCTTGTATCGTCTTGTCGCCGTTGCGCCGTTGCGCCGTTTCGACAGCCCCTCGCATGGGCTTGTCTTGTGGTCTTGTTTTGTGCCGCCTCCCCGTCTCTGGAGCAGCCCCTCGCATGGGCCTCCGTCGTCTTGCCGTTGTCTTGCCGTCTCGTCGTACCGACAGCCCCTCGCATGGGCTTATCTCTCCTCCTCCCCCCGACCACCACCATCTCCTCATTCGACGACGACACGGTTTTCTCTCTCTCTCTCTCTCTCTCTCTCTCTCTCCCGGCTCTTCCATCTCTCCCAATGGAATCCGGTTTCAGACGACATTACACGGGGCACGATTTACGGCATGCGGAAGAGCGTCATCATTGCTCGCAGATCTGTTCGTTTCGTTGTTGTTTTTGTGGTTTTTTGTCTTGCCGAGTGGCAGTTGGAGGTGTACGTTATGACGCATGATGGGAGATATGGCGGGAGTCAGCATCCTCTCCTGGCATTTTTACGATTTTTCTCGAGTGGGAGGCGTTTTATCGGGCATGGCATGTATCGCATCTTTGTTCTGTATATTAGTGGGTTGTTCTTTGGCCGTTTGCTGCCTAATCTTTAATGAATCAGCCGCCTCGTCTCGTCTGCAGAGGTTTCTTTTCGTCGACAATTATCTGTGCCCTTGTAACAAGTCTAGCGATTATTTCGTGGCTTATAAATAAATATATACAGCTTGTACTGCTGTGTTTCGATCTCCGTAGCCGGGAATCCAGAAGTATTATCATGTCATCATGATATCTTCCGAGAGGATTCTGGAAGTTGAGTTGCCGAAAATGCTAGAAGTTGACACAAATTTGTAAAAGTATATAAACACTCCCTCCCCCGCCACCTGGACCTCGCTTTCTTCCTCAATCATTGTCTGCTCTTTTCCTTCCCGCCATTCGAACCATGATCTTTGACGTCTCTTGAGATCTTTTGGCTGCCTTCTGGCCTAGGTCTCGTCACTTCGCTGACCTCTTCCTGCTCCGCTCTCTTCTGACTGGTAAGCCTCTGCTACTTTCTACGGCTGTTGATGATCTGACGAGTGTACCTAACCAGGCATCCGATTTACATTTGACGGGTATATATATAAAAAGTATCCCAACTTCTCAGCTGGCGCTGGCATGAAAGGCGGTAGTGCCTAGAATATACTGCCACCTCGATTCATGATGACATTCTCGATATGGACAGTATGTTTTCTATCAGACCGAGACCAAAAATGTGATCAATGGCTGATGTTGGAGTAGAGAGCCTGATACCAAGCTATGGGGCTGGCAACTCTGGCAATAATGGGTTGTATGGGGGAAGCGACTCTATCACACCGCCGTAGGTTGCTCATTTCTATTCAATACCTGTTCTACGCCTAATCAACAAAATACAGTTGCCCCGCCCTAGATCTCGAAGCCCGGCTAGAACAAATCAAACAACTAGACAAACTTCAAAGATGAAGCTTTCAACAAATGCTGATAAAAAGAACTAGCAATTCTAAGCTAGGTTTATGTGCTGGTCTCCAAAGTCACTAAGCGGATACGGTCCTATCAGCAAAAAAAATCTAAGCTTATGTTATCCTTCGGACAATCCTCTGTGGACCTTTTATAATTTTATATTATGGAAATGATCTGGATTACATACAGAGAGGGATGGCTGGTCTCATATGTCTCCTTTACAGACTTCCTGCTGTTATCAGGGTTTGATTTCGCTCTTAGGGATGATTACGTATATAAAGTTGCCTTGATGTTTGCTCGATAAATTACTAGCTGTCGCGTGTATTTGCCGTCACCGCGACCTCGCATGCGTGCGTATTGATAGCGTGGGACGGTGGAAAGTATGCGCTTTTCGTCAATATAACATATATATAATATGTCTCTCTGCTCCATCGCGCTTGTATGAAAAACATATATGGCGAACTTCCGGTGTTCATGGACTATTAGGTATCCAACATATTCAAGGATATCCATGCCTCGGAGGCTGTGAGTATTAGCCGAAGCTGGCCTAGTACAGAACTAGCAGCGATGACAACCTACAGTCTCTAGGTCTTTGCTACCTGATACCTTTATTAGGATTTTATATATTGACTTAGCGTTCGATTTCTACCGACCATGCTGTTACCGAAGCCTTTCAAACTCCTCCATCGACTTATTTAATGCGAATACATCTAGTTGTCGATTGTCTGAGATTCACCTTCAGCGTAGGTCATTTTTGTACCCGCAGGTGAATTAATCCCGAACGTTTTGTACGTTATAGATTTCGATTCCTTCCTTCCACTGAGATGTCCAGCCTTCCATACTCTACGTATCTGCGCAATCCTACCGAGGAGTGAACCCAAAAGCGCCGCCAGACCCTTCTCATCATTGTTGGTTCAGGCTTGAGACAAGGTCTAGTTAGGTGTAAGTTGCTGGAACTCACACTGAATTTCTTACTATGCAATTCACTCAACAACCTTAATAAGAAAAGAAGATGAAGAAGAATCACCCCTCTATCACCATGAAATTTCCAGAATTACGCTAGCAAACGCGTTCCACGTGCGGGAGATATTCCTGAGTTCGCGACCCAATTCCAACAGTACCAACCGTTGGAAAACTCCTTTGAGAGGAAGGTTTGACGGAAAGTCCCTCGGCTCCTTCCTAAAGCGGTTCAAGTTGGAGACGAGTTAAAAAAATCGGAGAGAAATGTAAAAAGTGCAAAAAAGGAGTGAAGGTATTCCGATACCGGGAGTCGAACCCGGGGCCGCTCGGATCTTGCTTTCAATGAAAGCGAGCAATGTTAACCGCTACACCATATCGGATGGCTTGTGATGTTGAGGTTGGAGCCAAAACACGTACATGAACGCTTTGAGCCGGGGCTAGTGTTGCATTGGGCCCCTTGTTGTGTTGCCTTGGAGGTGTTGTTACACAAAACATCAGGAGCGTTATCTGGGCAGTCTGGCTTCGAGACTAGAGCGTTATGAACATTCCAATTCCGAACGATGAATACTGATGTATATTGTAACAGCTTGGAGCGAGGAATACTTGAGCTACACAATTTGGGGGGGGGGGGAGGTTGATGTTTTTTGTGTGGGCGGTTGAGCTACACAATTTGAATAGCTTGAGTATGCTGTAGCCTATCAAACTTAGCCGTGAAGATAAAATTTTGGTAAATTAAGCGTACTATTTGCAGGACAGCATAGTTATGTAAATATCGATACTAGTGGGAGCCAAAACGTGATTTCAACTAGCGTGAAAGACTCATAAATCAGATATAACATCCGTATCGATATATCTAAATCTCCTTCTCGTTGTAGACAGAAGCGATCTTTTCGACCGGTGCCTCCTCGTCCGACGCGACGACCTCGCCAATTTGCGGCGGGAGCACTGCAGCGTTGATAAGCGTTGGCTGATGGGGTGAAATATAGGTATTGATGACATAGTGTGTCAGGGAGGCAACGGTAAAGCCGAAAAGCCAGGCGAAAGTATCTATGAGAATCAGCGAGAGTCTCTAGGCACAGGTACCGTCATGCTTGAGTATCGTGTGAGACATACAGATCTTCCAGGCACCGCCAACATTGAGGGTGTTCGAGATGGACTTGGCAAAGCCGGGTATACTGCAGATATATCGATATTGTGAGCATGGCAGACATCGCAAAGCGAGATTGATGCGCTTACGTTGGGGCAAAGCCGACTAGAAAGCTAAGCCATGCTCGCCAGTTTACACCGTGGGAATAGTAGTAAATGCCGTCTCCCTTGTACATCTCGCGGATGTCGAAGCGCTGCTTCTTAATGATCCAGTAATCGGTAACGATCACGCCGGCGAGAGGATCCATCATGCAAGAGTATCCGCTGAGGAAGGCAAGGAGGCCAGCAGCGTTCTTGATAATCAACCATGGCTGGGAGGCGACACAAAATATACCAGCGAGAAGAGTCGCCCTGAAGATGTTGATATATTTTGGGGCCAGCCCGGAGATATCGTTGGAGAACGGGAAGGTTCCAGCTGAACAAGTGATTAGCAATGGAACCTACGCATGTCGTTGGGCCATATTACCTGCGATCTGGTTTCCAATAGTAGCGAGGATGAAGCTGAGACCACAGAAGAACTTGGCCGCTCGGCTGTCAAATTCGGCGATGATTGCCGGCATGTACCACTGAAATTCACCGTGCTGTGCCTGATAGGCAGATGTAACGAAGATGGGAGTCAAAGAGCCGAGCGTTCCAATGACCGGGAGCGCGAAGAACTGATTATAGCCTGCCAAGTTATTCTTCGAGAAACGTCCGAAATCGGGCATGTTGACAGCCATAGAGCTGAACAGGCCGATAATGACGTTCAACCCGGTCAAGGCACTGTACGCAGTGTTCATGTAGGTGCTGGTGATTTTAGTAGGCCCTTTGACCAGTGGGCCGCCTCCATGAGTGACGATGGCTCCCCATAAGAACAGCGCGAGGAAAGTCGGTGGAACAATGATTGCCTTGACGAGGAAGAGGATCCTCAGTTTCTCGATGGGCATGAGAGAGAGGATAGTTTGCATAATCCAGTAGAGAAAGAAGCAGAGCAAACCTGCTGAGTCAATGCCCATCGACTCCGGCAGGGTGTTCTTGAAACCAGCGAAGCTTGGCCAGATCGCCGTGATACAGTTTCGCAGGAAGTCTCCCGCTTGGACACTACCTGCTTGTCAACAGGGGCAATTTTATCAACAACTCGTCATTAAGTATACTTACCAAAGAATAGCTGTCCACATGAGTGCAACGAAGCCACGGATCAAGATGGCTGGAATAGAGCCGTACATGCCAAAGATACCTCGCACCACGACAGGGTACGGAATCGAGCTGTCAAACTTAGATTAGTATATATATGGATACCCTAACACTGAACAACCTCGGGACATACTATCGAGCGCCAATCTTGCCAGTAAGGGTGATGACGACGGAGCAAATCATGAATCCGAAGAATACAATCGGCAAGGTAGCCCTGGTGGCGAGTTAGCAAGCCTCTATCTTCGGAGCGCCAGAATGAGGCATACCTTGCGGTGAACCCGAGCGACATGACAACAGACACCGTCGAGGCTAGCTAGAGCGATGTCAGAGCCCTGAATATCGCATGTATCGGAACAACGCTTACCGGGGGCGCAAGCATATCGGACGTCCAGTATGCCCAGTAGTCGCTGGCGCCCCATGTTCGCTTCTCAGGCGGAACGGGGTCCAAGTCTATCGATTTTTTCGGTTAGTCCACGATCTATCATCATTGCACTCACAGAATTGGATGGTAAACTGTACCAGGGTTGCTCCAACGTGGGGTGCCATAAGAGCCTGGGTTTGTTGGGACCTGTAGATGTAAGTGAGGCCCGATCTTTGCCTTGATCTTGGACGGTGTGGGCAGTGACGGTAATGAGAGAGAAACCATGTTGGGCGTTTGAGTCTGCGCTATCAAATGCGAAGCTAGACTCGAGAAGACCGAATAGTACTGAAGTTGAAGCCAATGCCGAATAGATGAGATCGCAATTGCAAGGGCGAGGTGTAAGTCGATTTATACTCGAATCCTCCCCATCCCACGCCTCAAGTGGTTATACCGGCCTAGCTCTGAAGTGGAGCATCCTCGCGACTCATCTCGCGTGGATATCGCCGTGCTAAGCTCAGCTGCAGGCGGGACCAAAATTAATTCTCATTTGAGAAAGAGCAAAAATTAATTGCTTTGCATAAGGCCGTGTCTCATGTGCAGTCGTTCACACATGTAGCCGATGAGGTTTGGCCTGACCCAAGCTGTCGGGTCATGTCATTGGAAGGAATCAAGTAATCGGCGCTGTAAATGCAAGGATACAGATGCATATGCATCTCAAATAGCTCGGGAACCAGAAAGATAACGGCGGCCACGCCTGAGGGCAGCTTGTCATACAGACCGCAGGCCAACCCCGCCCGGGATTCCAACACCTCAAATAAAGTTATATTAGCTATTCTCAGGCGAGTGGCAAGGGCCTGGAGTGTGGAACTTGGTAAAAGTTCTGCCCTATGGCCCGCCGGCGAGAGGTTTCAACAATCTGCAACTAGCAACTTCTGAAGGCTTGTCCATGTATGTGATAGTGGACATCGAATCGCTAGTACACACAAAGATTCACTATGCCGCTTAGATGATACCCGAAGCTGCGCAGGGATGTAGCAGATTGTAGCAGGTGTCCCCCACGAGGTAGATTCAAAGTTTGCGGATTGTGGTCCGGTATTCGACCTCGAGACGATGGCTGCCATGCCGCTTTATGCCGCGAGCAAATGCCGCGAGTGTCTCCTGTATCCAAGCCTCGCGTAACCCCAACATTTACTTAATACCTTCAACGTGGAGTTTCAGCTCTGGCTTAACGCGTTCTGGTTTGTACCTTGACCATTCCATTTCAGAGATGAAGATGCTAGCGGGGTGGGATACGGGCAGCCGATATTTGACTTTAAGGCTGGCCGACGGGCGCCGCGGCCAAGTGCGCCGGCCTTATCTTCTCGCTTCCCTCTATCGCTCCAGGAACGCCACCAAAAGACGGCATCCTGCAGACTGGGGCAAGCGGGCTGCAGCTGTTGGTGGGCAAGCCAGTCCAATGCCTTCGGTCAGCACATAGGCGAGGTCTGTCGCTGGTCATTCGATTCGCTGGCCGGCCGCAGGCCATGAATGCACCAGATCAACGGCAGTCTGCACTGGACGGCGCTGCAAATGTGCTTGTGATATGACATTGATAGTTCTGATATCGATGCCGGAGGTGCAACGTGACTTTTGGTTGAAGCATGACAGGTGAATTCAGTGACCCCACCGGCCACCTTAGAGGCGACAACCAGCCGGCCCGTACTCTTTGCGTGGGGATCTGTTATATCAGCCGTCACCGCGACTGGCAGGTTTCTTGGAGCGGCTGCATGTTCCGAAACAAAGAGATTTGATTGTGACGTCTATCTCGGAAACGAATCGAGTTATTAGTAAACCTGAAGCTTAACTTGATGAATCGGCTAAGCTGGTAATCCGCGGGCTAGCACTCACGATTGACTGGGGTTGAAGCTACATAGCTACAGTCGGATTTCGCCCATAATCCGGCTGGCTGCGTCGTGATCGATTAGCGCGGGCTTCCAATCTGGAGATCAGGCCACTGACCTGCTTGAATAAACCTTCTTCGTTCCCTTCGGCGCTCTGTGGTTACTGCCGTTCTTTTGTCCAGACCTATATATTCGCCTAGCACTCCAGTACAGTGTCGGCTTGATTAAGATTCTAAACCAACGTCGCAACGCGCCCGAAGATACAACAATTCCTCCCTTAGACCCCTCAAGTCAACTATACCATGGCCATATCAAAGTCTCTCCCGGTGAAGGTTTCCTTCGCTGCGAAGCCGTATGAATTCATATTCCCACCTGCCGCGACGGCTTTGCTCATCATTGATATGCAGCGGGACTTCCTGCTCGAAAATGGATTCGGTCATATTCAGGTATCAATTACGTATCATGAATACATGATGGTGCCACTTGGACCCGGCGTTCGAGTCAGCTCCGCTGCGCATATGCATTACAGATAGATAACATTTAATGTATGCTAGGGAGGCAACCTCACGAATGTCCAGGCTGCAATCAAGCCAACCGCTAGACTATTGGAGACCTGGCGGAATCTTGGACTCCCCGTAGTCCATACGAGAGGTATCGTAAATAATTGAAATCTCAGACGCATTGATGCTTCCCACACCCATGCATATAGTTAATTTCAGATATGTGATATAGAGGGTCACCTCCCCGATCTATCCGACTGCCCTTCTTCGAAACTTGTTCGCCAAGCCGCTGCTCCAGGAAACAAGCAGCACATGCAGGT